TCAAGAAACTCGGGACAGAAGGAGCATACCTTAACATCATAAAAGCCATATATGAAAGGCCCACAGCTATCATCCTCAATGGGGAAAAAAGCTTTCCCCCTGGGATCAGGAATACAACAGGGATGTCCACTCTCACCACTATTGTTTAACATAGTGTTGGAAGTCCTAGCCTCAGCAATCAGACAACAAAATGAAATAAAAGGTATTCAAATTGGCAAAGAACTCAAACTTTCACTCTTCACCGATGACATGATACTCTACATGGAAAACCCAAAAGACTCCACCAAAAAACTGCTAGAGCTGATACTTGAATTCAGCAAAGCCGCAGGATATAAAATCAATGTACAGAAACCAATTGCATTTCTATATACTAATAATGAAACAGCAGAAAGAGATATCAAGGAATCAATCCCATTTACAATTGCACCAAGAACCATAAACTACCTAAGAATAAACCTACCCAAAGAGGTAAAAGATTTGTATGCCGATGACCTCAGAAAGCTTATGAAGGAAATTGAGAAAGACACAAAGAAATGGAAAAACATTCCATGCTCATGGATTGAAAGAACAAATATTGTTAAAATGTCAATACTACCCAAAGCAATCTGCACATTCAATGCAATCTAATCAAAATAGCACCAGCATTCTTCAGAGCTAGAATCAATAATCCTAAAATTTGTAGCGACCCACAAAAGACCCCAAATAGCCAAAGTAACGTTGAAAAAGAAAACCAAAGCTAGAGGCATCACAACTCCTGACTTTAGTCTGTATTACAAAGCTGTAATCATCAAGACAGTATGGTATTGGCATAAAAACAGACACACAGGGGCACCTGGGTGGCTGTCGGTTAAGCGTCCAACTTCAGCTCAGGTCATGATCTTGCATTCATGAGTTCAAGCCCCGCGTCAGGCTCTGTGCTGACAGCCCAGAGCCTGGAGCCTGCTTCATATCCTGTGTCTCCCTCTCTCTTTGCCCATTCCCCCCCACTCACGTTCTGTATCTCTCTCTCTCTCTCTCAAAAATATATTTAAAAAATTTTTAAAATTAAAAAAAACCACACAAAGAGAATAGAGAACTCAGAAATAGACCCACAAATATATGATCAACCAATCTTTGACAAAGCAGGAAAGAGTATCCAATGGAAAAAAGACAGTCTCTTTAGCAAACAGTGCTGGGAGAACTGGACAGCAACATGCGCAAGAATGAAACCGGACCACTTTCTTACACCATACATAAAAATAAACTCAAAATGGATGAAAAACCTAAATGTGAGACAGGAAACCATCAAAATCCTAGAGGAGAAAACAGGCAGCAGCCTCTTTGACCTCAGCCTCAGCAACTTATTACTTGACATGTCTCCAAAGGCAAGGGAAATAAAAGCAAAAAGGAACTATTGAGATTTCAGCAAGATAAAAAAACTTCTGCACTGCAAAGGAAACAATCAACAAATATAAAAGTCAACTGATGGAATGAGAGAAGATATTTGCAAACGACATATCAGATAAAGGGTTAGTATCCAAAATCTATAAAGAACTTACCAAACTCAACACCCGAAAAACAAATAATCCAGTGAAAAAATGGATTAATCCAATGAAGACATGAATAGACACTTTTCCAAAGAAGACATCAGAGGCAAACAGACACATGAAAAGATGCTCAACATCACTCACATCAGGGAAATACAAGTCAAAACCACATTGAGATACCACCTCACACCTGTCAGAGTGGCCTAATTTAACAACTTAGGAAACAACAGATGTTGGCAAGGATGTGGAGAAACGGGAACCTTCTTGCACTGTAGGTGAGAATGCAAACTGGTGCAGCCACTCTGGAAAAGAGGATGGAGGTTCCTCAAAAAATTAAAAATAGTATTACCATACAACCCAGCAATTGCACTGTGAGGAACTTATCCAAAGGATACAGGAGTGCTGATTCGAAGGAGCACATGCACCCCAATGTTTATAGCAGCACTATCAACAATAGCCAAATTATGGAAAGAGCCTAAATGTCCATCAACTGATGAATGGATAAAGATGTGGTATATATACACAATGGAATACTACTCGGCAATGAAAAAGAATGAAACCTTGCCATTTGTAACAGCGTGTATGAAACTGGAGGGTATTATGCTAAGCAAAACAAGTCAGTCAGAGAAAGACAAATATATGATTTCACTCATATGTGGAATTTGAGAAACTTAGATGACCACAGGGGAAGGGAAGGAAAAATAAGATACAAATAGAGAGGGAGGCAAACCATAAGAGAATCTTAAATACAGAGAATAAACTGAGGTTGACAGGGGTAAGGGGGGTGGAGAAAAATGGGTGACGGCCATTGCAGAGGGCACTTGTTGGGATGAGCACTGGGTGTTGTATGTAAGTGATGAATCATGGGAATCTACTCCTGAAGCCAAGAGCACACTGTATGTTAGCTAACTTGACAATAAAAAAAAAAAAAAGACTGAGAAAAACTGAGTAGTCAATTTTATATGGTATAAAGAGATGTTATCAGAATAATAAAAGATTCATTTATATATTATTAGAATTCTAAAAGGAGCTGCTCATTTTGAAGATATTTGTAACAAGGGTATATAGTATCAAGTTGTTTGCATGCATACCCTTAATTTGGCCTAACATTTTTTTCATACTGGGGACAATTCTAATAGTTATACTTTATGGGTTGCTGTGAAGGATTTAAGCATACATATGTATGGATATGGATATTTGTATGTATGTGTGTTTCTAGCTTATTGTTTGGCATGTAGTTGGCAGTTAATTAATGTTACCTTTCTTCCCCCTCCCTCAACCTAGTCACCGAACAGAAAAAGGTCCTACATAAGCTGGCTTGCACATGTTCCTTAGGTAAGGGATCAGGAGGACAACAGAAAGTCTGGCGTCTGAAAACTGTGGCATGCTCCATTCTAAAACAAAACTCATTTTCACTTCAGTGTGGATTTGGGAGAAGCGTTTTTGAGGGTACCCTGAGATTCAAGAGGGCAGTGGTCAGAAGAATGTGCTTACAGGTACAAACACTAGTGACTCATAAGAGAGTGGCAAGGGCATCATTCGCTGCAACTTTGCCTTTTCTTGTATGTAGTGAGTAGAAAAAATATACTGGAGTACAAAACTCACTTGCAAAGAGGTTTTTTGGTGTATATAGAGTAATGCTTTTTGGTTCCTTTTATAGATTAAAAAAAAATAAGCAACATGCTTTTCTTCAATTATCCTAACTTTCCTAGCAATAAACTATTATAATTAAATTGTTTACTTTCTGACAACCTCCATTTTACAATTTAGTTCCTATATTTTATACATGGCTGTTCTTTCAGAACATGTCACAGGCAGTTTGAATGTATCTTCTGACACATAATGCTTCCAGACTTCCCATAATTAATCCTGAAAGAGAGCTGAAGGGTTCTATCTCCACTCGTAATGGATTACTAAAATGAGAGGTAGCATGTTATATGGACAATCATAAAAACCAAGACAAGAAAGTTATAACCTATATTTTCTAAACCCATCTGCGTCACCAGATCATGAGGTACAAGCATTTTGAAGGCATGGTGGAAATTAGCACTTCAGAGCTGCAAGCATGAAATGCCACTTTCTATCATCATCTGTTTCTTTCAACTGAGATCAAAACTTCCATCTCACTTAACATTTTAGAGAGAAAAGAATCCAAAACACTCTTTTTGGCCCATGCCCTTTTGTGTCTTCCCCTCTCCTGACATTCTCTCATTACTCCAGAATTCTTATTTTTCCCAAAAAAGAATAGGCTGAATCTTTACCCCTTTGAAATGTCTCACTGGACCTCTTAAAAATCACTTTTTAACTGTTCAGTGAATTTTCACTTATTTTGAAATTTCTCAGTCCCTAAGGGAGCATCATATTCTTTAAGTTACTTTAGTTACAATTCTGTATCTTACCTTGGCCTGGAGTTGGAATTACAAACAGCTTAAAGCCATTTTCAGTTCTTTTAAAGAGTGGTGTATGAAGTATGTTTAGCCTTTTGCAACGTTTTTTTTTTTTTAATTTATTTATTTTTGGGACAGAGAGAGACAGAGCATGAACGGGGGAGGGGCAGAGAGAGAGGGAGACACAGAATCGAAAACAGGCTCCAGGCTCCAAGCCATCAGCCCAGAGACTGACGCGGGGCTCGAACTCACGGACCGCGAGATCGTGACCTGGCTGAAGTCGGACGCTTAACCGACTGTGCCACCCAGGCGCCCCTGAAGTATGTTTAGCCTTTTGAAAGAAATATGCTTTTCAGAGAAATGCTCTAAAATTTTCATATTTCTATAGACTTACACAATTTCCAAGGAACTTACTAATAAAATTTAAATTAACAAGGGGTTCAAAGATTTTCATTTTAATGGTCTCACCTAGACACTGCCATTTCAGTTTCCACAGAAACTTGTGAATCCTAACAACCTTGTTTATCTGTTTGAAGCGGATTTTTATACACTAGGTTCTACTAAACAGGATACAATAAAAGGACCATTTACTTTTTTAAAGGTTTGGACCAAAATACTGTTAGATCACTTCAGTCTTCACTTAAGTGGTAACTTTAAGTAGGATTTCTCATCCTTGGCATTACTGACATTTGGGGCAGCGTCACTGTTTGCCGTGGGAGCTGTCCTGTGCAGAGTAAGGTGTTTAGCAGCACCCCTGGTCTCCACCCACGAGATGCGAATAGCAGCCCTGCCACACCCTCCCCACCTCCAATTACTTCTCACAGCCAAAAAAAACAAACAAACAAACAAAAAACACCACGTCTCCAGACACAGCCAAATCCCTAGGTGGGGGATGTGGGTGGAGAGAAGCAAAATGACCCCAGCTGACAACTGCTGTTCTAAGGCGTGCTGTTCTGTGCACCGCCGGTAAAGCCTCGATCTTTATTTTTGCAAAGGAGGCACAGAATGTAAAATTAAAACAAATGTGGAACCAAAACGTCCTGGCAGAGAAACTATATTTCAAAATATAATCAAATTGAGATGGTAATTATAAACCAGCCAGTTTCTGTGCAGCAAGGTCTGATCTCAGCTGAACCTCAGCTAATTTCAAAGTCATTTCTCTATAAAGAGCACCACTCACTTTTAGGTTCGTCCCCAACGTTTGCGTCTTTTCTCTCTGAAATTCTTTTCTGTAGGGATGGATGTTTTCCCTTCTGTCTGATAAAGCAGCCACAACACCACTACTCTTTTCTTTGCTTGCTTCGCAACTCTGCACCAAGTTGTTTTCAACCTCAACTAAGGCAGAAGAAAGAGAACCAAGGATAACCAATTCCTTCTCCAAAGATGATGCCAAATGATCAATTAGGAAATCCTCACTTCCTGATTTTAGTTTTTTCAAGAAACAATTTCTAGGGAGAGCTCCGATGAGATTATGAAGGCACTGGAACAAAACTGTTTGATTCCTGAAATAAAAAAACAAACACAACATTACAAAACTCGGGACAGCACAAAGCAGTCGTGTACAACTTACTGTAGTAATCACTTAATATTCATCTACTGATGAATAGAACCAATACTGCCTGCATGTGATCTTTTGATATAATTCAGATTGTAGCAATCAAATATACATATCCTATACCAATCCGTTAATGTTAATCAGTTGCTTTCTGATGACATTTTTTTCTCTGAGTAATAACATCAGTATTCTATTTTTAAAATTTCATTGTCGGGGAAAGATAAGTAGAAATCTTAAAATAACTACTAGGTCCTAACCGACTAAAAAAAAAAAAAGCCAAAAACAAACATGAAGTTAAAAGCTTCAGTTTCTAAATGAGGCCACCTGTGTCCATTCATGCTATCCCAGGCAATGACCTGAACGTGTCCCACAGTGACACAGATATCTACTCTGGAGATGACTCTTGGACCACACACATATGCACTAACTTCTCTGGACATATTCCAATTTGATGGGCATTACCTGGAATAGACTATCAAAATCCCTTCAAATGGTGTTCTTTGTTTCCAGTTAAAGAGTGTGCCATAGAAACTTCCTGGCCTTTTGCAAAAGCAAATTTCTGGAAATTCTTGGATTACTTCACATTTCATGTGTTCTAGTAGCCACGTCTTCATTGAAGTCAGAGAATAGGTGGGCGATGTGATTTGAAAACAAGCTCTGTTAAATGCTGTGAGAAGTGCAAAGAGATCTTCCACGTGTTCTATGAGAAAAACATGTCACAAGCTCTGTCATTAAACTGTCCATTATCAAATAGAAAGAGTTCTTAAAATTTTCTAATTCAATTAGGTATATGATTAAAAAGTACCAACAAAAATTACCTATAGGTTTCTTCTTTGGAAATGTCAGCAGGTATTTCCTACTTGAAAGATCTTCTAGACTTATGAAAAGTCTGCCACACCAAACATAATGATCTTCAGAAGAGTTACCATTTTCCCTCTCCCTAATTTGTAGCAGCACAATGCAACAGAAATCAGTGAATGCTAAAAGTGGTGAAAAAGGTGTTACAGCAGTAATGACTTGCACACACTCTTTCTCAGATGCTTGTTCTCCAGCAGAGCTTTCCTCATCCTTCTCCTCTTCCTCTTCTTCTTCCTCTTCCTCTCCCTCTTCCTCACTATCAATAGTCAACTTGATCCTTTTTGCCTCTGATCCTATTTCACATGGCACTGAGCGTGATGCTGGGGGAAAATCCCTACTCAACTTGATCACCCTATTGTGACACTTAATAAGCCGACAGCTGGAGCTATGAGCTTGATCCATTACCAGTGATAAAGTCACATGATTCAGGGACCTGTAAAAAATCCAGAGTTGAGTCCAAAAGCTCATTCTTTAGAATCAAAGAGATGATTAAATGCTACACAAACAATAACAAAACTATATCCTCTCTTTTCCTAGAAAGTATCATTTCAAATTATCAAAAAATTAAGTGCAAAAACCAAACACATTTTTAAAGATCCTGTAATAGCACATTTCTTGAAATAGGAAAGCCAACAACACTGTAAATACATTGAACTTTAGGAAAATAATTTCCTTAGGAGAAAGGAACAGTAAAATAATGCTGGATTTTATTTTTGAGGTAGCTTTCT